TTAAAATCATGTGTTCTCGAGAAATTGTGCGTTGTTACCAGTAAAGACAAATAGTTCTTACAAATATAAAAACAATGTGTTGGCCGGGGTTTTTAACGATCTCGCTGTTCTTCCTACTTTAATTCATTGCTCAGTTTCTCTTTTGGAATGATTCTCCAGTTTAAACGAGTAAATTGTAAAGGATCTCTAACTTACCTTCCGAGTTGTTTTCATAAAACGTCGACTTGCCGCTTATCGCCGTCCCCTTCTGCTCCTGGTTAATACTGTCCATGAACTTATTGTGTTTGGACGGTGAGGCGGGAGGGTTCGCGGGCGCAGCGCCGTGCGTAAAGTCCGCATCGCCGAACCTTCCCATGGCGGCGGCGTAGAGGTCCCCGCGCAGGCTGAGGCGGTGAGGCAGGGGATGAGGAGGAAGATGCGGCGGCTTCTGCAGCTCGTCGCAGGGGAGGAAGGAGCCGCGGCCGTGCTCCAGTCCTGGGGAGTTGTCGGGCGTCCTCCTGCTGGTCTGCGGAGAGAAAGGCAAACAACTCTCCGTGTCCATCTTCCAGCTCCAGCAGGCAGGACAGACAACAGAGACTGGGAGCTGATAGTGTGGGCGCCGGAGTGAAAGAGTTTTTTTTCTTCTTCTGTGTTCATGTCAAGTGGGTGGGATTTAACAGATCAGAAACAAAGACCCGTGAAACCGGGGCTGTGTGTGTGTGTGTGTGTGTGTGTGTGTGCGTGTGTGTGTGTATGTGTGTGTCCGTTTGCAGCATCCAGCAGTCTGATATAATCCGCCAAAAATTCAATCACGTGTGGTTTCTGTTCCTCCAATTAACCATTTAATTACTATTTCATATATTATTATGGGACTAATCAGCAAATCAAGCAGGACAGGAGAAGCACACACATGCACGCACGCACGCACACACACGCACACAAACACACACGTACACGAAAAAAATGTCCGAATAAATCACTTTTCCTGACGGACAATGATGATACAGGCTGCTATTTGTTTATTTCTTCTTTCTTCAATTCATTTAAACATTTCATTGAATTGAGTTTATGTCATTCAAAACAACATTTTCTTTGATGTCCTTTTATACGTTATCAAATTGATGCTTTCTTCCTTTCATTACTTTAACATGCTCAGAAATTAATTGTTTGACTTATAACATCCATGCATTATTCTACTGCGGATAAATACGTGCTTATTAAGTGGTCGTTTACCGCCAGAACCCGAAAAGGAAAGATTTTATTTGCCCAGATGTCATCTTATAAAACGACCAGTTTACGGTTGTTCGACACAAATTGCTCTTTAAAAATGTCTCATTAAAAACAGAGGAGAGTAATTGAATTAGAAAGCGGGTGAAAATCAGTGCAGGACAGGTTAAACACATCTGGATAATGGATTCGACAGATTCATACGCAAACAGCATCATCAGATACTGGAAACTAATTAACAAAATTTAAAAAAGCAATACAAGAAAATGAATCTATATCATGTATTTAACTGGCCACTCGCTGTACTGTTTTTTTCGACCGCTTTGGTCTTCGGACGCGACGGCATTTCACTGAAATATTTAAGTTATATGTGACTATTTCGATCTCTACATGTTAAATAAGGTATAGTTCTACTCGTCGCTATATATCGTATTAATATATAGACATTAAAAATGTGGTATTTATATTATCTAAGAAAAATAGACAATTTATTTTGAATTAAGTTATTACTTTATTTATTTATACAAATACTTATTCGATCATGTAGGTTGATCATCAGAAAATAAGCAACATGTAGGTTATTACAAATACAGAGATCAATTGGATTTATAGGCTCTAGTCCTCAATTTGTTTCTGTACATTATCGACGTGTCTGGCCGACTCGTGCAGCAGCTGCACTTCACTTTAAACCGTGGGGCTGATTTCCTGTGGTTGTGCTGAATAATACTCACTGTTTCCCAGAAATGATGGAAAGAGCAAAACAATACTTGTCAATATCAGAGCATTTATCTGCTTGCAGTGAAATAGTTTTAATTGATGCGATATTATACTTTGATTTTTATGGATATATACTTGAATCACTTGACATGTGTTTAAGTGAAAGTCTTCCAGATATATTAAAATAGCTAAACATAAATGAAAGCAGAAAAAATATGCTTTGTCTGTGGAACAGTGTGTGTTCTTCATTTTTTTTACCACACAGCTCAAACCTGAATATGCTCAGAAAGAGATTGTCTCAGTGGTAAGATATAAAAGGCTTTTGATACTTTATCTCTAATCTAGACAAACTTCATCTAAACACAGAGCACTTACCAGAATCAGAGGCGGCACCAATGCTTCTGGGGACATCTCACCATCTCTGTGGATACCTGAGGCCACGCGCTGCTCAGCTGATGGACAAGTCTGTAAACATGGACTCCATTTGGGTTGAGAGGCCTCATAAGCCTCATTTGATTCCATGTTGAGCTCTGAAATATCAAAGTGTCCAAGCAGGCATGTTATACATCCAGGGGAAAAAAAGCTGCACTGAGAAATATGAAGCTTACATGCGTTGTGATTGATAGCTCCAGTCAGCTCAAATTTATGGTTGAATCACTGTTTTCGAGAAGTTTATTAACAATAAAACTCTAGTAAACAATAACTACACACTCATAGTAGTGCAGTCATGGACAAAATGAAAATTCCAGTCTCCATCTGGACACCAATTGAAATGACACGGCTGCTCATGTGGAGAGGAAGAGCTGCTTTAGGTTTAAAGTGATTAGTGACCTCAGATATGAGGCCTAATGACATTTATGTGTAACATGACTTAGATTAACATGTTTTGGTGAGCAGAGCTGAGTGGCTGAAAAAGACCACGCTGTCATGATAATCACAAGCACAGTGCCACTTTTTACCTTCTCACACTCTTGAGCGTCTCCATCCCCGTAAACTTCAACCTGGGGCGGAGTTGCCAGCATCTATCAAACTGTCAGGCTGACCACCATTAAAAACCTCATAATTCTGTTAGTGGGAGAGTATGTTTTAGAATGTACACACGGGGGGGATGCGGATACGTTCCTCAAATCTCGTGTCAAGCATGTCCTCTGTAGCCCGAGGCAGCCGAGCACTCTTGAATTCACAAACCCAGCTGAGTAAATGCATTCCAGAAATGCGGGCAAGAGGAAGAACGTCTGTTCTATGATCTCGGAGCCGCTGCAGGTAAAAGTGTTTATATGCATATTGCATAAAGAGAGCATACGATGTAGAGGATTATGGGTATGTTATTTGCCTATAGGAGTCACAGTCTCCAATGAGTCTGTGTTGACATATGTGCTGTGGTTTGCTTAATTACACTGGTATATGGGGTAGTGGAGGAGGTTGGGGGGGGGTCCAACTTTCAGGGTAAAATACACATTCAAGTATTAGCAACATCAAGCAAACAAAGCATTTGTCTTTGCCTGCTTGCAGTGAATGCAGCGGTGCTTAAAAGCAGTCGAATGGCAGAAAATATCAACTTGCTGTCCATACCATGACCAGCTCCACTCTATGATCCCTGCGGTCCTAAACCCTTGTCCTCCGAGCCTGTCCTGGGCATGACCCCGCACAGGAAATCAGTTCAGCCTGTTGGGAGTCCCAGGTCTCCCCCCGCCGCCTCCCGGCTCTGGGCACAGACAGCGTGGATAAAGGTGACCCCGCACTCTCACCACGCACCCTGCGGCCCTTGGGCTAAAGAGCTGCTTCCACCCCTCCCTCTGCTACATCCTCTCTGCCTGGCTGTCAGTCTGCAGGGCGTTGTCACACCCTGTTGTACACCTTACATCCTACACACACACACCTAACATCCCTTAAACACAGACTTGCATGTGTGCACGCAGGCACAACTGTCCTTCATTAGGTACAGAATATTAAAAGTTACTATGACGATTCAATGATTTGTTTTATTGGTGAATAATGTCTGGCATGCGGGTAGAGAGAGTAAACAAAGATCTGACCTTTTCCAGTGAGATCCCAAAACAGTGTGTAGATAAAGACATTATTAAGATTGACCTGCCAGATGTACACCAACATAGACAGAGTCAGCAAGAATGAACTGGTGTTCTGTACTTCACACAAGCTGCCTGTCTTTGTCTGACTATCATTGCCTGAGGTCTTTCCTCTCACGTACAGGGTAGCAATTCAACCTGAGGTTTGCATTAGAATAGGAGAAGGATGTCTAATTCAATTACCCGCCATGAATGCACAGAGATGATCCCATATGCAGAGCCAGGGCTCCTCTCTGAGGCCTCCCTCACATCCTCCAGTCCGTGTCCAGAAGCTGCACAGCCAGCTGAGGACTTGATTGGCAGCTGCTGACCCTGGGGTCGGCCGGCTGGAGAGGTGCATTCTGGGATGCCTAAGTCGCTCCGCTGTAGCAAAGGGGGTTGAGGTTTTGAAGGGAAGTGGAAAGTGGTGTTGCTGTCCTCCGTCTGACCTCACATGAGGCGTCATGGAGCACAGTGAAGCCCAGTGAGTGTGAGCAGCAAGTCAGGATCCACAGCCACAACACACATGAGATGAGCTGGGTACATCTCTGTCAGAAAACAAGGGACAAAGACTTACACTGACCAATGTTCGAAAAAAGCAGAGATGGTTAGTGGTATTGTTTTCGTTAGAACTTTACTGTGTGATTTTGTTTTTCTACACAGCTCTCCAAGATCATAAAACATTGAAAAGTCAAAGCTTTGCAATATTTTTCCCTGCAGGAAAGATCGTGACATATTAAACTACTCAGTTAACCCCCCGGTGAACTTCAAACCAAAAGCCCTTCATGCTCGACAATGAGGACAAGCTAACAAAGACAGGCACTGCAGCTTTTGTTAATCAAAAATTGGAAATGTTCGATGGTTGATTCATCATAAAAGATTTGCTGCAGCAACACATGTTGCGTGTTGCTCTCTTGCTGTAGTTTCGGAAATTGGGAGCACTTAGTTTAAATCCAAGACAGAAGTAAAAATACCACTTGCTGATGATTCACCTTTGATACGCTGTAATAAATGGCTCAATTACTGGTTAATAGCCTACATTATGTACTAATTCTTTATAGATTGGATTTAAGCCTTTAATAAGAACAATGATTTGTGAGGTTTGGGAAAATCCTCTTTAAGCGTGTCTCTTTTTTCTTTTTATAATACATGAGGCAGACTCCTTCACTGGACTGTTTGACCAGTCACCTTCTGGATCAGGGCAGAATGGCATTTGAACCAACAATGAGATTATCAATGTGTGTAACTGGAGATTTGTATGATTATCATTATCTCCTTATAATGATTAAACTATTTACAGGTGACTGACTAACTTTTGCTGATGGATTAAATTGACTAACAATAAATTGCATACTTGAGTCTTCAAGTGCAGACTTGATGGCAGGCTGAGTTCATCCTCAGTGAAGTTAAAGATTTTTCACAAGACATTCCAAGAATTGATGTTATTAATGGACAATAACTGCTGTACAGTATGGCCAAAAATTATATATCCGGATAGAAATGTTCAGATCAGTCGATATCACAAATTATCACAATAAATGTCACATTATTATGTCTTTGAATTTTAAAGACTGATTTCTGCTCCTGAGTGAAGGTTCTGGTTTTAAACCCTTAGTTTGGACAGACAGATCAAATATGTTGATCAAACCTCCTCACTGTATTTGCACTATATACATAATATATTGATGCATATTGAATCCTAGTTATACTGCTATTGATGAAAAGGATATTGCGATAATTAATGGTTTCATTTCATTGCCCAGCTCTGATAACTAATATGTTAATAAGCATTAGTGAAAAATGTATTACCAGTTACTGAAACCCCACTTTACTTTTTTATAAAGCCATGATACAAGTTGCCTAAACAGAAAGTTACGTTGGCCGTGAGAGCTCAATGCACTGCAATTTAAGAAAATACATGCAACTATAGAAACCCCCTAACCCCTAGTCAAGGTATTGAAGTCTGCTACTCGTCAGTGTTGATGGAACTTCACAAAGCATTAAACTACAGCCAGGTTAATCTCTTTTCTGGGTCCCCGGGAAACATTTCTATTGTCGTTTTCGCAATTTGCAGCACGTTTTCTGTAATTGCATGTGTTGTGACTTTTTGCAGCGCATGTGTCGTCAAATTGATGAAATTGTTTTCTTAATTTGCACTAGTTTTTTTCTATTTGCATGTGTTTTCTTAATTTGGCTTGAGCTCTCTCTCTCGGCCACCGTAGAAAATGGTAGAAAAACTTACAACAGAAACTTTAATCTACATCATATCAAGAGTGAGAATTATCTGACTCCTTTTCACTTTGCTTGGATCTTTTTTAATTTAATTTGGATAATGTGAAAAAATAAATACTTTAATAAATGGTGCTAGCTTAAATTCAGACATGCTATCAGTTTAATGTTAGCATAGGAGTAATGAGCTAAATGAGGAGGCGCGCGCGCGCGCGCGTCTGTGTGTGTGTGTGTGTGTGTGTGTGTGTCCGGGTTATGAAGGCTCGGTCTGTCGTGGTGATGAATGCCTCTGCTCTGCTGTGACTGGAGCTTTAATGAAGGACAGACCGGTGCTGCCTCACTCTTTTTTACCGCTGCTCGAGCTCCAGGAAATCATAGCCTACACACACACACACACACACACACACACACACACACACACACACACACACACACACGCACACGCACACACACCTTAGCGATCGGTCCAGGCCTCGGTACAGAGGACACACGCCAGAGCTAAAAATAAATAAACCCTGATGTGTTTCGGAGCCTTGAGGGCGGCGACGCATGAGTATGACGTAGACAACAAAAAAACGCTGCCATTAAAACAGATTTGTCATTTATTTAACTGTCAGCGTATCACATTTACTTTTATTGTTCACATTTAGAGCCATGTTAGCCCATCAAAACCCCACAGCTCTATCTCACCGAGTTTTATTTAGGTAACCTTAGACATGGTGCCAGATCGCAAGCTAGCTGGTGCTCGTCCTGTTTAGCAGCGCAGGCTCAAATTAGCTAACATTAGATTAGAGATGGTCAATAAAGTGTATTTCCTGGAGGTGGGAGAAAACGTCTCTCTGGATACAGCCTCCTCTGCCTCGACCTTTTCATGGCCAAGATTAAGAAGGTAATGAATTAGCCTCTTTCTGGGTGACTTGGGTAAACTATCAAATTTAACTAGTTAAATACCGAATGAACTGTGAGAGTTTAGGGGCGAGATTTCTTGTCTTGATGGTGCGTGTTTTGTTTTTTCCTCTTTTTGAAAATAAGCCTCCTTGACTTGGAATGGAGGGATTGAAGATCAGGGTCCAGATTCATGGGACAGGAGCTTTCTCAGGTTTCAGGTGAGTGGATTAAAAGTGTCTATATAATAGAACCTGTGTTCGTCCTGATCTCACTCATTTATATATTTATAATATCCATTAGCCTACATTTAACTCACAGCAATAGGTTATAGAATAAAAAAAAATGTTTTGGAATTTTGAAAAATTTAAATTAGTTGTTGTATTTATTTATCTATTTATATATTCATGATACTTCTCTATCCAAATGGATTTAACCCATATCCTCCAGTTTGTTTTTATTGTATTATAGTAAAAATCTTTAAACCTAAATTATGACTGTTGACAGTGAAATACTTGCTTATGGTGAAGAGACTATATATAGAGACACATTTGGTTTTTAATTAATTTGTCATGGGCAACTTATTATCTGACCTACAGTGTATAAAACTCGATCCTGTTTTTCTTTTGCAGTTTTCCGAATAATATTTTAATAACAGATATTGATCAGTTTCTTTTTTCCACAATAGCGCATATAAAATACACCATTGGATGGGAACGGTTTTTTTTTTTTACCTTTTGTATCATCGGCCTTCTCCTGAATCTTTGCATTATTATGCAAATATTAATTATAATTAAAGGTCGTTGATTTAATTTTTTTGGACAACTGGAAATGACAGATTATAAATTATAGTGAGCCAACTAATGAAGGACAAACTTTAAATTTTGATCCGACTTCACGATGAACTGTTATGATTTACGGCAAAAACGAAATAATTTGAGAAAATAAGAAAGAAAATAATAAGCCTGATAATTATCAGATGATTAATCACTCAATAAGATTATTATTGGCTGGATAATTTAAGACGAAAAACTGAAATGTACGTCGTGAAATAGAAGAAGCTGACGGATTAAAAAACAAATTAGGAACATGTATCGAAACGAAATATCGAGGGCTACAAAATAAAAATAAAAACCTTTTGGTCCGTCTTCATAAAAACCTTGAGCCCGTTTCAGTTAACTTCGCAAAACTATAATAAAATATTACGTATATATCGTCACCTTTTCATTTTACATATTTTTACCGACACAGCATCGACAAGTTATTTCAGTAGAAATGGAGCTAAATATAGAAATTAAAATATAAGTCCTACAACGTTAGTAGAACCTCATGATCTTCATGAGAAAAAAGGCCTATGGACATATCGATAACCAGTTGTCTTATTGGTAGAAAGTCTATGGATCCACGGGTCTGGAATCCTGCGGCTTCTTAAATCCAGCGCATCGTGACAAAATGTCCCCGGTGCTCGACCAGCTTGCTCTCATATTTAGAACAATCCTCTCCGCTATATTCTGGATAAATAGTCCGCGGAAGAACATACATGTCTTCCTCGGGGTGCCTCACAACGAGTTCAGCTGAGGGGGGAAAATGACAGTTTGAAATTATAACCAAATGAATGTGCTCATATTTCTCTCGTGCTATCTGTGGTGCTAAGAGGATTTGTTGGAACTGTGATATTTAATAGGTTTTACAAATGAGTCGAGGTGTGGCCCACAAACCCAGCAAATCTAGAATAATCCCAAATATAGACAGATAGACAGACAGACAGATAGATAGACAGAAAGATAGATAGATAGATAGATAGATAGATAGATAGATAGATAGATAGATAGATAGATGTGAATGTTTTCTGGTGACCAGAATAATAGAGGTCAGGAATTAGACACATAAAACCACACAAAAAGTCTCATCAAACCAAATTTCATACAGTTATTAATCCATCCACAATACAGGGACTAATGAGCATTATTTTTAAATCCATGCAATTATTGAGTCTGATATTGTAAAATGCCAAGATTAGTTCGTTTTCACAGCCGACATATTTGGCTTGATGCAAAGCAAAATAGAAAAATTTGTAGGCCTATATTTCTACCTCAACAAACATTTATTATTCTCAGATTGTCCCTATCATTAATGTTTTGGTCAAAATCTAGTAGTGACTGTTGTGTGAGAGGATCACTTCTTATATCTGCTGAATGCCAAACCCCCTGGTGCAGTGCAGGCCTTTGTTCCTGTCCAATCAGATACAGCTGTACAAGCCAAACTCCACAGGGATAGCTGGGGTCATCCTCCCAGCGGATGCTCAGGCCCATCCTGCTACTGGTGCCCTGAGGGCCTGGGCACAGAGCACGACCCCCCAAACAGCCACCCAGACACTAGCTATAATGCCCCCCTTCACCCAGTCCACTAGTGGCGGGTGGTGTTTTGTTTTTTTCCTCCTCATCCTCTTCTTTGATTTTTTTTTTATCCTACAGAATTTGGTTGACGGTTCTGACATGCATGTGCATGCTCGTCATAAAGGCCGTAACTGTACGACTCATGCAGCAAATATAAAAACTGCACATCTACTTGATAACGCTTGTGCAGTCTCGAAACTGTACTGTAAAATACATGGAGAGTATCTGTTTCCATCAACACATGTGCTGAGCTATTATCGAAGGGAAACGCTTCACACAGCTAAAAGTGGCCCTGTTGTTTACTTATCATAAGATCTCAGGCAAAAGATGAGGTCTGCAAGTTAAAGGAACTCTGACACATCTGAACGAGACTGTCACAACTCTGCTGGGGAAGAACAGACCAGCATAACGAATCAGGCCGAGTGGATTTCCACCAAGAAAGGACATGTGAGAATTTTGCCTGTTTAGAAAGAGAAAAAGCAAATGACCTTGGGGGCTGAAGTGGCTGGATTGAAAATAAACTGTTTGGAATTACTCTGCACATTGAGGAATAGAAAGCAGCTGCAAAAATCTGAACTGACTCAGTTGATTTCTCTGTGATTTGGAAGAGCTTTCAGCAGGCACATCACACTAACCTCTAGGCTCAGAGCACAAAAGCATGAGTCGCTTTGTTTTCAACATGTCCCCATTTCTTTAGAAGAGATAATTGTGCTGCTGGAGTTTCAAGTTGAAAACGAAACTGTTTGCCTTGACATGAAGTGTAAAGCAGCCCTACAACAGACTAAAGAGCTGATGCACAAGTGAGATAATTTGAGGTACGTGACAAGTGATCAGGAGAGTTTAAAGGATTTAGGTTGAGGATAATGAAGGCTGCTGCGGGCGGGCGGGGCTTGAGCGCTCTAGTGAATGACACACTGGAGACGTCTGCACCAAGTTTAAGAAAATCTAATTTATGGCCACTTCGCAGCAGCTGGATTTGCACTTCCGACCAGGGGATAGCATTTCCAAACACCATGGTGAAGGTTGATGGATAAAGTTGGTTGCTCTTGCTCTCTTGCCTTTCTCTGACACACTAATGTACTTTGTGTTTATACAGACACACAAACATGTTCACACAGAGCAGAAGAAATGTATTCTAGACTAAAAGATATAACACAAAAACCAATTTTATCCAACTTTACCTCAGGATAGATGTGAAAACTTGTATTTTCCCACTATTTTTTCATCTGAGTCTTCTCGCTCTTACTTTCTGTACTCAACTCTTTGGTCAGTGGACTGCATGGGTGGCATTTAGAGGGAATAGCCCTTGTTTTCATGTATTTATATGTCATGTCTAGGTATTTTGGAATTAAATAACCAAGAAACTCACCAAGCCAAACTGTTGAAACATCAGTCGCTAATACCACTGAGATCTACATTCTGGAGCTACTCCACTGACCGTAAATTGGAGACTGACTTTGAAGTCTATGCTATGAACCCAAAAATACGTCTACTTAATGAACAATCCATCGACCTTTGTGTCTTTTCCTGTTCAATCTCCAGGGAGCTGAGCCGTAGCATCTCAGATTATAGGCAGGAATACTGACTGCTCGTCTTGTTTTTGTCCATGCAAAACAAAGGTGTATGTTCCTCTAACACAGACAGGATCTGTCCTGGGGCGTAGGAAAATCATATTTGACATCTGAAATTCAGCGGCGTATCCCAGCAAGGATTTTAAGCCCTGCCATGGAAAGTGTAGTCAGCTGCAACCACGACGTGAGCCACATTTCACTGACTTGGCTTGGAAGGGAGTGTGTGTGTGTGTGTCCGTGTGTGTGTGTGTGTGTCTGTGTGTGTGTGGTTGGGGGGGTGTAATCTTGCAACAACCTAGATGGAAAAAAAAGCCAAAGCCTAGCACTTACACATGATCCTTCCCTGCCTGCTAGTGTGTGCTATTATTCTCAATCGTAAGCTCCGGCACTCTCACTTTATAAACCTCTCATCCAGTGTGCCTGAGATTACAAAAACGTTTGGTAACCAGATAGCCCAGACTAAGACAAGACTGTTGACACTTCTAGCCTCACTTTTCAAACGTTTTCACTGGAATCGCTGTCAACCCAAAAAGCAACAGTGTGATGGTTGTTGCTCGTCTAAATCATCTCTAACAGATAAATCATCGATTTCATGGATGCTCATTTCCTCAGTGGTTCTCTTTGTCAAATGATTCGCTCGTGTCGTGCATGGAAAGTAAACCAGCTACCACATATTAGTCAAAGCTCATTTTAAGAGACGCTGGGATAGTGGAAGTGACCACTGTCCCCTTGGTTTGGAGACCTGACAGTGAACTCTGAGAGGCCAGCCACCCCCCAGACAGCTTCCCCTGCGGCCTCCAGTCTCCATTATCCAGCCACAGCCTGGGGACCAATCACCCCGGCTGCCCTCTCTGTCTCTCTTTTTCCCCCTTTCTCCCTCTCTCTTTCACTATTTGTCTCCCTCACTCTTTCTCTCCCTTCCTCTTCCTCTCGTTTTCTCTCTCTCCAGGCACTCTTTGCTCTGTGCTTTCAAGAGCTCCCTGTGTCACCAGACTGATTAAAACAAACACTGACCCTATTTTGGTATCTAATCCAATTGTGCTCTTTTTCTTCTCACTGGCCCTGGAGCACGCAGCGTATTAGGTATCCTGGGAGCCACAGGCCCCCCCCCTGTGACTGATCTTAGATTTCAAACACTCTGGAACCTCACATATGGTGGGCAAAGAGTAAATAAAGTCTTATTAAACTCCCTTTTAGAATGGGGTGTAAACAGCATTTGGCGTACATTTGGATTGTGATCGCAATAAGATGCAT